ACTCAGGCGCCAGACGCCACCAAACATTCGGAGCTCGCCCCGGTGTACCTTCAGGGCCCAAAGCAGCATGGCCAATTTCCTCGCCTCTTCATCCATCTCATTGAGGCCAGGGGCACCAAGAGTTGAAGCCTCCCCAGGTGCCGCGGTAGCCACTGTGTGCTTGAGGTCGGGCATCTCCTCCAGAAGCTTGGGGCGCTCAGCCCATGGGTTCTGGCCATTTTGAAGTGCCCGCATGGCCGGAAGGTAGTGCTGCAGCATGTCCGAGGGGTCCGGGACCTGGTGCCAGCCCAGTGAGGCCGTCGGACAAAAGAGGCCCCTCTCCAGCTTTTGTTGGAGGTCGGTGGGCCAGGCCGAGATCTCCATTGGGTCGAGCGCAAACTTCTCCATGAAGGCCGTGCCCTGGTCTTGGATCTGTTTGTTCGCCGTTTTGGCCTTCTCCATGGTGGTGACCGCCGCCTGAAGGGATGCCTCAGTGCTGCCCGAAGATTCCTCCAGCATCCTCTTCTTCAAAGCGGCTTTGAAGTCCAGGAGGTTGACCTTCCGTAGGAGGTCAGAGCCAGAGTTCCGCACCTGGCTGTCAGGGACCGACTGCATGCCCTCCTGAATGGGGGCCAAGACGGTGGCCTGCAACTGGGCCACATGGTCCGCCTTCTCCTCACGTTCCGCCTCCTCGGATTGGGCGCGCTCCGCCTTGAGGTCGGCAGCAGAGAGGCCTTGAAGGGCCTCAGACTGAAGGCGAAGGGCCTTGGCCGCCTCCGGTTGCTGCTCCTCCAGTCGTCTGCGATGGACCGCCGTTGTCTCTGCCGCGTCATCCTCATAGTCAGCCGACAGGATCTCCTGCCGGATGTGGACCCTGCAGACTGATGGGACCTCATCCGCAAAGGTCCTCTCTGCCTCAGTGCAAGTGGCCGCAGGGGCCTGGGCAAACTGGCTCCCATCAATGGAGTGTGACAGCTTGAAGCGCCGCTCCGCCTCAGGGTCCATGCCAGTCGCCGCAGGGCCAGGGGCACCTGGGTAGACGTGGCAGGAGCACGCCAGACCGGCCGGCCTGCCTCGTAGAGCAGCGTCCAGTCTCATCGCCCACCTCCATGATGGATGTAGGCCGCTGGTACTCGATGGCTTGGTCGTGTTTGCAGGTCCAGCACCTGGTCGCGTTGTCCGGCCAGGGCGTCATGCATTTGCCACACATGGAGTGGAAGGGCATGTCTCCTGCAGGCCGGTGGAGGCCTCGATCCTCCGTCAGGCCGGACTTGTCCGTGGCCTTCTGGTATTTCTGTGTCCAGATCTTCTCCTGCATGGCCAAGGCCCGCAGGGGGATGTACTGCTCGATGATGCGGGAGACCACCGGCTCGGAGAGTGGGTAGCCCGTGAACTGGTCGAAGAGCTGGACCATCTCCTTCTCAGTGCACGAGGTGAGGAGCCCCGCCAGGTGGCCCGGAATGGCCGGAAAAGAGTCTTGGAGGTTGGTTCCTCCATGGGCTGTGGAGCCGGCCTCTTGCTCGGTCTTGGAGGCTCCGGTGTTTGGGCCTTCGGGATCTACCGTGTACCCTGCCGGTGCAGGGGGCGTGAAACCTAGGCCTGGTCTCTCACTGTGGTCGTCGTCCATCGGCTCCATTGGTGCGGCTGCCCGTGGCTCCGCCGAAACAGGCCAGGCCATCGGGGGTTCCGCCATGGTTGTCAGCAGCGCAGGTTGGGCCTCCGCCGCAGAGGGTGTAGTAGCGCTCGAGGTCGGTGCCACAGCTGCCATAGCCGCATCCCCCCTCACCGCTAGGCCAGTTGCCAGCGCCGCCATCAGCATTGTCGTCTAACCCCAGGACTTGAGCTCCTGCAGGTGGCGCTCCAACTCTCGAATCTGCTCCTGAGCGTCCAGCTCGGAGACCAAAACGGGCTGGCCAAAAACGGCCAGGCCCCTAGCTCCTTCCGCCTCCGCATGACGGAGGGCTGTAGACGCAGCGTCAGCTGCCTGGTCCAAACTCTCCATGCCCGGGCTACTGACTGTAGCCAAATCCTCCACGTCTGGTTGGGCATCTCTAACCGACTCAATCATCACGTACTCCGCTTCCATCGGGTGCGCCATTGCGTCGTGTTCCTCAAAAACCGATATACTGGGGAGTTTTTCTTCCAAAAGTTCAGGTGGAATCCAATGGGCGATTCCCACCAACTTGAGCCAAAATGTCCCGGTGGGACATTTTGTGAACTTCCGTGAACATAAAACTTGCACCCGCAAGCTACATGCAAGTGTGAATTTCTTCCCCCCTTCGAAGAACCTCTCCCAAGATCCCCCGCCTTGCCATATGGCTGGTGGTCGGGCGTGACCTTGAGGACCGTGATGAGTGCGGAGTTCCTGGTTGTCGCGTGACCCTGAGGTCCGCGGGTGGGGCATTGGTGGGGCTTGCTGTGTCGTCGTGGTGGTGACGGTGGTGACATGAGAAATGTTGAGAAACAAAGACTTCTTAGTTCTTAGTCTAAACTTGCATAAATTTGCCACTCGAGTTGCAAGATTGGTTAGATCCTCTTCGAGTCTTGGAGTAGAGAGAACATTGAACATTCCAATATCCGTTTGGTGTGGGGGCTGTCTGCAGACTTCTGAAGGATTTCATTGGTGCTGGACATCTCGTACATGTAAACAATGTAATCTGAGTCTCTGCGGACTCGAGACAGCTCTGCACCTGAGATGGTCAAGTGCGACATGCACGACATGCAAACTCTCGAAGGTCTCAAAGGCATGATCACGATCTCCAATGTTGCAGCTACTGAGTCGAGCTCACCAAGGATGTGCATTAACTCCAATGTTGATTCATGAGTGTGGGATGGTCAACTTCACAAGGATGTGCAACCTGCAAAGCACAATCTGGGTCGTTCAGTTCGGAATTGGTCAAGCTCACGAACGAGCTGCTGTTGTTTAAAAAGCGCCTTCCTCAATGCAGTGGGGGTCAAGCTCGCCAACAAGCAACAACCCACACTGGCACCTTTCCACCTGAGGGTCACTGACTTGCAGATGACACTTGCCCCACCCACAGCTGTTTTGCCATGGCAAGCCCTGCATCTGCTGCAGCTTTCTCATCATTTCGAAGCAAAACAGTCTGCAACAACAAGCTCCATCATGGTAGTGCCACCAGCAAGCTTGTCCCAAAGCTACCGTCTGATCTGCCGCTTTCGCTCTCGACCTGTCATCTCTGGTCTGACTTTAAGTTGTGCATGTCTGGTCTGCCTTTCTGATTCTCTGCATCTGAGCGCCGCTACGCCCACCCATGTCCCAGCGACTGTCTGATGCCCCGCGCCCCGCGGAAAAGACAAGTCAGTCACCAGGCTGTCTGGAAAACGATCTGTGTAGGAGATCAATCCAAGCTGAACTGGTGCAAATACTCCAAGATACTTGTAGATAATGATATGATATGATGACTGCTTTGTGAAAGTGCAAGGTTGGATAGCCAATGTCTCACATAGTTGTAGACTTCTTCATCCAGCATTTTGTGTCACACTGACTGTTTTGATCTGTTTTGGAGATTGCAAAGAAAGGAGCCAATCGTCCATTACGAATGGCTTTGGTATTGAGTGATCATCGTTAGCGTACACCGGGGCAACGTCCCAACCGGCTTCTTCCGGCAAGCCACCCATAGGAAGCATTTGAGGTGGCTAAACTCACATCTCCCCAAGCGTGGTGTTCCACGCATCCTTTGCCAACTTGCTCCATCAGCATGGTGGTTGTCCCATGTGCCACAACAAAACCATCGTTTATACTGGACGCTTTGCCCGGTCAAGTCCGCCTTCTTACAAGGTGACCAACAAGAGACCTTCCCCACCGTGCGGGACCTCGCCCGGTTCCTCTCGTCGTTCCTCTCGGCTGTCGGCCAGTTGTGCCCCTTTAAGATAGTAGCAGTATATCATATAGGATTCAAAAAAAGGAGCTTCACAACTAGGGCTAGCCGGGCTAGCTGCAAATTGCGAATGGGCAAACCAATGAGTAAACCTCGGCAACCCGCAACAGATTGCAATAGAAGAGCACTCCTTATCATTGTGCAAAAGAGCCCTTCCATGAATCTGGTCGTTTCGACTGTCAAAGCGGCGGCCAACGCACAGGTCTGGGCGAAAATCAAAGCTCCCAAGTCTGGAAATCCTTTGAGCAAGTTCACTTCCATTAGATCTGCAAGAAATGCCTTTGGTTCACTTCCTCTACCAACCTTTTAGATATTCAAAGGAAGCTGTCAGAACCGCCGATGAACGCGGAGTACCACAACCCCCACCTCGCGGCGTTTTGGCCCGAGGAGTCACTGGGGGCAGCGACATGGCGGCTGCGTTGATGAGATTGAAGTCAGTAGCGTCCTTGCTCCGTTCGTAGCGATGCCAGGAGCTCCTAGTAGCTTCTTGTTCCTAGTAGTAAGGCCAGGAGCTACTAGTAGCTTCTTGCTCCTGGCGGCTTCTAAAATCCTGTGATGGCCATCAATAACTTGTTGGCCGAGACTTGCGTCCTAGGGTGCGAAGTGATCTGCGACATCTGGTCAAGGCCGGACCAAAAAGCCATGAAAGACGTGTCAGATTCATAACACACTGAGGACTTGACCATTTAACAGCAGGGTTGCCCAGGATTGACACTTTTGACAAAGATAGCTCGTGGATGGCGCGGTTTGTATCTTGAGCCACGGCAGGTTTTAGTGGAGGAATCCCCAATGCCATCGCCGGAGATGGGGGTGATCAGGGTGATCTTACTTGACCTTCGATTTGCCAAGGATTCACATGGACGCAGCAAATCGTTCTCGGCAGCTGCGCAGGAAAAGGAGGAAGACCTAAAATTTGGGAGGAGCAACTTAGGACCCCAAAAAAGAAGCTCCGAAGTCATCAATTGGATCTGTTTGGGAGGAGGAACTCCATGGAGTTGCCTCTCCCATGAAATGGCAATCTCCATGAATCTCTATTTTCGAACGGATCTGGTATGCTTCTCACCGCTTGCTGTCCAAGTCTGTCAGTCTCTCACCACTTCGTTTGGATCGGGCACCCCGGGCTTCGGTGCGAGACGGTGCGCTTGTTTCCTGGGAAAAAAAAAAAGACAAAGCCCGGGCGTGTCGAAAGGGGCAAAAGTGCTTCCTGAAGCACATGTGCCAAGAAAATCCTGAGATCATAGATCATGTGAGTTCCCATGATTCGTCAGCGAACTTCTCAGCTTAAAGGCGTTACTTCTCTTTTTTGCACACGAAGAAGCTGGGAATCGGACTTTGGCCCATGAAATAGTAGGCGACCATACCTGCAGCCATGTGAGACCTGATGAATCCTAATGACTTGACGTTGCCTTATAACTTATAAAGCTATAAGGCCGAATACATGAGTCCTAGTCCCACCACTGGTGCATGTTTAGGTGGTCAATCCGACCTTGCACTGTGCTCCTAGGTCCTAGCCTTTGGGTCGAACAAGGAAGGTGCTCAACTCAACCCATCTGGAACTTCTGGACATCCGATCCCCTCCAACCCCCCATCCAGCCCGCCTAAGACTGCTAGGACCAAGATCACTGCAAAGGCTATCACCTTGGCCCCAGCAGGTTTTGGGCTCGTCTGCACTGGAGTCTTGGAGGCGAGGAGACAGGTGTGTCTGACCGGGAATGGGCCAGAAGCTGATGGGCGTTGTGAAAAAGCCATTAAAGAAACAAGGCAACCCCGGGCAACCCCCCACCCAAACACCTAGTTTGTCTTCTCTCCAAACTGGGTCAGCCATGTCGAGCCATGTCGAGCCGCTCGGCCCCGAACCTGTGATGATCTGCGCAGGGTGAAAACCTCTTCCAAGAACCAGCTTTGCTTGGAATATCTTGGAATCAACATCCTTCTCAGTCCAGTTCGCACGGAAAAAAAGTGCGAACTAAACACTTTCCAATCCCAAGGAGTCCTTTATGTCTTCTTGTTGCGCTCCACAAAATCCACAGCAACCGTCTCTTCCCTTGTTGACCAAGATGGTTTGGCTCCTGGCTCCTGGCTCCGCGTCCGCTCCCAACACCGCTCCCAGTCCGCCCCCAGGCGAGGCGACCAGAGCGTCCCGACCACGGGCGAAGGGCCGGAGGACTGCTGGCTCGCATAGAAGTCGCCGCCGCCCACCTCGCCGCGCGGGACGTCCGCGTGGAAAACGGTCCCGAGCAGCGAACTTGCGGACCCGAAGGTGCGGCCGAGCGTGCGGGGCTGGAAGGGTCAGACTCCGGGAGAACTGGAGTCGACCGGAAGCAAAAGACTCGGCGGAAAGCTCCACTCCGAGGAGATCGATGGGATGTCCTGTACAGCATTGTGCTGGAAGGTCATGAACAAACCTATCAAGAGAGTTTGAGCCACTGGGAACAGCTGGTGGAATTTGTAGTCTCGCCCCAACTGTACAATTCTACCTACACACCAGTTGTGCGGAAGGCTATATCCATCACTGTGTGCTTCATTCGTGCTGCTTCTGAGCCTTGACTTAACATGCATGGGGGGCGTTTGCAGGTCATCAGAACAATGTCGGTGCTGCATTCTGCATGTTTATAATGTAACAATGAGATGTTTCCTATTCCCATGCGGTCCGGATCAAATGTCAAGGGGCCCAAACGCCCAATCTGCGGCCGTTCCAAATCACGTAGCATGGCTTCTCAGCAGCTTACCACCCAGCTCACCCCAAATGCTTGGATGCTCAAAAAGGAGAGAAGCCACCAGTGCAGCTGAGAAATCCCAGCTACAAATATATATATATATACCAAACCCGCCACCTTCACTGCCAAAAGAATTCACGGAACGGCTCGCCAAGCGGCATGCGCAGGGTTCACCGGTGTCATCACCTCGCGAGGTCGAGCCGAGGTCGGGAGCACACCGGGCCGCGGCCAACCAGTGTCGGCGGGACAAAAAATACGTTGAACTCCCAAACAACAGGTGGGACCGTTCTTAGTCGTCCAGTACAATTAGAAACACTGCCTTTTGAGGAGGATTTTATTAATTGATGTTCTTGGCGATTGCTGGGGGTTCTCTACAGTTTAAACACTGGCCCCGAGGATCCTTTCAAGTATCAGCTAGCTGCACATCTTCAAGCAACTTGATAGGCTACAACTCACCTCAATCACAAGCTCACCTGTATCCAGGAACAAGAAGTACCGTATCGTATTCTATTGTCTATGATTATTATGTGAGTATATATATGACATGAGTATATGTATGCATCAGCCCTTCTAGCCCAAGTTGGCGATGAGACCCACTCCTCCAAAAGGAACAAGGACAAACAGCCAAAGCCTCTGGCCATGTTTTCCTCGCCCTTCCTCTGCTGGTGCCTTCGGCCTTTCTCAGTCGCGCCTGCTTGGGACAGTAGTGATGGATAAACTCCCCAGCGATGATACTCTGCGCCTGTGCGAAGGTGGAAAAATCCAGTTTTCAGGTTTGTACAAAGCAAGGAAGTTTGCACAAAGCAGCATGCCCAGAAACGACTGTTCGACTGCCAAAGAACATGAACCAACAGCCCCAGTAGAACCACGAGAACAGCCTCTTCCCAAAAAAACCATCGAGTCACTCGTTCCACGGGGCCCACTCCGTCGGTCCGAAAAACACGGTGCGTCTCCCATGCAGAACACGGCGACGCGCGACGGCCGGTGTCACCGCGGAACGCGCGGTGTGAAACGAAGCGGTGCGGATCCACCTCTGGGGTCCCCGTGGTGACACTATTGGCCGTCAGTGGGTAGTCCACCTGGTTGCTAGGATCCTTGCCCTGCCTTGCGCGACCCGGACAGAGGGCAGCGGAGGGCAGAAAAATGCGATGCAGGGGGGTACCGAAAGACCTGTCAATGCTCTGAAACCTAGTCTTGTTGGAATTTCCTAGACCCCAAAACTTAAAACTGACTTCGTGTCTGATGGGCATGCAGGACCAGGAGAAAAGAAATCTGCTGGTGGTCCACTTTGTGCGGGTTGATCAACAATCCTGGGCATGTTGCAGAACTGCTTGCAGGCAACCTCCTGCAGACTGCAGATCGTGAAAACAAAACGGTCCTTGACATACGAAACCCTTCAAACGCAACAGCGCGAACCACAAGCCGGTTATTTTGCATCGCCCGCTTTGGGTTGGCAAGAAGACGCCGTGATGACCAAACCTGACCTGGAAACCACGTCTTTCCCCATTCTCGGGGTCTTTCTTTAAGGCAGACTTGATCGACGCGATCACCGGATGGCAGGCACGGGGCGAAGAAGGGCCGCCGAGCTGCCCAACAGCAAAAGCCAAGAAGAATGAGATGAACGAGAACAATCCGACTGTTCTTCTTTATTGATAAAAGAGACAAAACACAACAACTCTCAGCTTGGAGCGGTACTTTGTGCTCATGGACGGGGCGTCAACCTTGGGAATTGAAAAGGCTTGCGGTGGAGAGCAATTCTGAGGGCCTTCACAGTACTAGCTTCCAGTGGTTCGCTGTACCAAACTCTCAAATACCCTGAGGGCACTTTGAACGCGCTTTCATCCCACTGTTCACGATCATGCTTTTGCAGCCCGTCAAAGGCATCAAGAGAAACAAGAAAAACTGGCAAACACGTTGTTCCTGTCTATTCGAGCATGGTTGCCAGGTTGGTCCGAACGAAATCGACTGGGATATCTCTGTGACTAAGCTGAAGCCGGACTCTTGAAGGTGCACAAAATCGTGAATACCAACATGGCAAATGAATCGAGGTGTTCAACAAGAGCCAAAGAAACATTCACAAGCTGCCTTGAAGTTGGGTAGGGCTCCTTCTCTTGGATGATGTTCCTTGAAAAGAGAACCACCTATTTTGAGGCAGGGACAACTTGTGGTCGCATGGTCGTAAAGACATGTCCTTCATCTCTATGAATGTGCACATGTCGTTGGTTCTTTAAAGTGGGCCAGGCCCCAGTTTGCAAGTGACCCTGTTTCAGAGCTTCTGACTTGTTGGTGAAGTGTGTAGCTGACGTTCTTTGAAAACACCAGGACATAGATTGCATTTTGAATGTTCCTCTGCGCAATCCGAAAAAGACATGTAGCCCGCACTGCTTCGCTAAGAATCACTTGCCAAGTAGCTCTCTTGCCTTCTTACCATTCCACCTGCGAAACTGATCTTCATCCACATGTCCTTGACCAATCTCTGAGCCCAACACGAGCAAAACAGCAAAAACACTCGTATAGCAAAGGGCTACTACACCGCTGAGGCACCGTGCCCAGCAGCCATCATTCTTTGAATACTGCCAGTACTGGCCTCGTCCGAATCTTTCTCTCGATCTTCCATGTTGAGAAAAAGGGACTTGTCAAGTCCAAGAAACAGGTTTAAGATGTGTCATGTCTGTCAATTGAATGTGCTACTAAGTCTGTCAACATCAAGAACACCCACTGCTGGCCCATGTGGTGGGCCATCCAAAAGAACCGTAGAGCATCGCATCAAGCTCCCCTGTTGGAGCTCAAGGTCCATCAGCTGAAGTTCGTTTCGAACCACCGCTGTGGCATCGAACAGCGAGGGCAACCACCCGGTATCGTGCGATGTGCACAAAATGACAAAAGGCATCATTTGAAGGACAAATGCAGTAAGATACCGTGACAGTACCTTTGTACTGCTGAATTCTTGGCAACGTGAAGACAGGTTGTGTGGTGGAATACCTCCTCTTCATTGAAAACTGTCGTGGTAGGTTAAGAAAGGAATCTGCCAAATGTGAACATTCAGGGCAATGCTAAATCTGGTTTAGTCAGGACAAACACAGGTCGTAAATGCCAGATATCAGATGCCGCCTATTTCACGTATGGACTCATCAACTAGAAAATTAGGGATCATAAGAAACACTTGATGAGTCGATACGTCTATTTCAGGTCTAGCCGTCTTCTTCTCCGTGTCACGACTTCTTCTCCATCAGACAGGTATAGCCCCGTATCGCCGCTCTCGCCGTGTCACTCGCGACGGTCCTGCGGAACCGGGGCACCCGGACAGCTCAGCGAGGAGTAGCACCTAGGAGGGAGCTTCCCGGTGGCTTTGACCGAAGCGGTGGATGTTCCAGGCTCCGGTGGTGGGATTTGGGATGGATTTGGGAGTATGTCGGCCGGATTGGTCCGAGGCGGGTGATCCTAAGGGCGGCAAGTGGATCCGGTGGGTCAAAAAAAAGAGATGGAGGGGATTTGGAGGGCGATGAAGGGGGTCAGTGGGTCGGATCCTTTGGCCAGGTGGATGATTGGTTCATCTGGCTCCTCGATGGACTCGATGTGAAACCAATCAACCAATCTGCTGTGGCTTTCGGATGTGACTCGTTGTGAACAGCCGAGTGGCACAGCCAACCGGTGCCAATCTGCAGTGGAGGGGAATTCAAGTGCTGCAATGCAAACTTTTTCCCACCATCCAGAATGACAAATGATGATAAGAAGGATCAGTCTTGGAGGGGGTGTCAACCTGGGAGAACCCCAAACCATACATCACCATCGACTTACACTAGATGGGGGAGCAAACCACCGCTTAGAACGGTTCCAGAATGATAAGCTCCAAGGCTCCAAGCTCCAGTTACTACTCCAATCCACCCAATGCCCACGGGTCACCCCCAGAAATGAACCTTCGGCCCAAGGGGCCAGTCCCGGCAGCGCGTGATGCTCAAGTCCTGTGGGGCGAGTTCGGGGTCAAGTCGTGGCTGTTGGATGCTGTTGGTGTGGAACAAACAAGAGTAGGTCATCAGATCAGAAAGCAGTAGGTCATCAGGTCAGTAGGTCATCCCGAGTCATAAGACCAAAGGACCGGACACGAGTCATATCAGGACACGGTGGGCCAAGTGGAACCACGAGAACCAGGAGCGATGCGCGAAATAGAAAAAAGTAAAAGGACGTCTGTCCGTGCCTGGGAGCCCTCTGCATACAAGCCAAAATTGTAAAGCCTTGGCACCGAGCCGCTGCAGGGTACTGAAGGGTACTGAAGGGTGCTGAAGTTGCTGATGGCTTTCGCTCTGATGGTTTTCTGGGCGAAAAGCTTGCAGACGATCGGGCGAACAAACCACCGAGCCGGAGCAGGAATGATGAGAAACCACGGGTGACCGTCTAAGTTATATAGAGAAACGTTCCAAGTCTGCAGCTCTCCCGTCTTGCTTAGTGTGTCAAACTCTTAGATGTGTGGATGCTTAATGTCCATGAACATCACCCACCATTGGACCATCTGTTCAGTCGTGCTTCATGCGGGAGAGGTGAAATGCTTCAGGCTTGCTTAGATTTAGATGTCAATGTACTCCTCAAGCATCCGGGAAGCCTGTTGATCTTCATGCCAGCCAAGGTCTTGTACACATGGACCTGCTCCAGATCCGGTTGCAGGAAATGGGGAGATCCGCGGGCTTTGGAGGGGCTTGCAGGGCATTGGATAGCTATGGCATGAGGACTCACTTTCACCTGGCATCTCTGCTCCTGTAGATGGACCAAAGTCTGCCACCCCTTCGGTAGCGGAACAATTAGCAGGACTCTTCTGATCATCACCCCATGTGCCCATGTTTACACTATTGGCAAAGAAGAATGGCCACGCCTTTCCGAACGAAGCGGCCCCTCCCACGCCTTGCCATGCTGCACACGCTCCGCGCCCTGTTGCATCGATCCGAGAGTTCGGTGTCCATCCAAAGGGGGGGGCGTGCAGCCCCCCAAACTGGAGGGTGTATGATTAAACAACCCCTTCAAAATGGATGATTTGGGAGGACCCCCCCCCATTTTTCTGGGTGGACCCTCAAGTTTTCTGCAGTACCTCTGCGCGTAAGCAACATCTTCCGCCTCCACGTGGATAGCGTCAGCTTGTCCCTCAGAGCGGTCCGCCGGTCCGCCGGTCCGCGGGTCCCCCCGGGTCCCCCGACCCGTCCGGTGGTGTGGGTCTCTGCTACAGCAGATGGGAGAGTGATGGGCCAAAGGCAACATGTGTTGGGCCGAACCAGGACTCGAAAGTGTTGGGCCACATGTGTTGGGCAAAATCCTCGTCTTTGGTGCTTGCGGGTCCATCGATTTCTGTTCAATGGACCTTGCTATTCTTTACCGTATCACTCCTAGAGACAGATGCGCCCGCTTTGTTGGGCTTCGATCCATCCATATCCCATATCCTGTCGAGCATACCCCAATCAGCAACGAAGATCCTCCTCGTACTGTATGGTATTTCATTCACATTTTCAGTACCTTGACTTTTGAACTGGATGTGATTGAATCGCCGCAAAAAAAAGAATGCTCGGCCACATCGTGGTGTTGTTCGTGCGCTTCGCGGATAGATCGAAAAAGCTGCACAAAACAGTCTCCAGCGGTCCATCCTCTCAGCTTGGGACCGATACAGAGCTGAAATAAGAAGACTATTGTTGCAGCCATGCCCGCAGGGTAGCTATGGTTGTATGAACATCTATATAGAAGTGTAGCGCACAAATGTGGCATAAAATCTTCAAGTGAGGTCTTCCATGTCGGTCGTATAGTGTCCGTTCAAGCATGCCTGCAAAGGAGTCGGCATGCTTCACGCCGTCAACATATATAACTATAACAGCTACTAAGGTGTCTTTGAACACCGGTGTCCTAACGAGGATGTGGAAGTCTAAACTCCGAACCTGCGACTGTGTCAAACTTCAGGATTGGTGCACTCAAAGGACTATCCTTCCACAATGCTACGGCCGTTCTAACCCTCCACCCCGCTGGCCGGGGCATCCCGATGAGCACAAACAACCAAATAGTACATGTAATAGTCCAGTGTTGAAACAGACCAAAACGCGTCTTGTACAACTAGACCCAAACATTAATTCGAGGAGAGTTGTCGACACTTCACTTTGAAAACATCTGAAATGTCACCCTCAAAACCTTACACAACCCCCCCCAACCACAGGGAGCATGGTAGCTTTCCCCACTAGAGAACTCATCCTCAGATGCGTTATCCCAAAAGATCGGGCCCAGCGACGCTTCGGAAGTCGCAGTCAAAGCCACCCACGCCTATCCAACACCTGAAGACGAGTGTCAGACACACGAGCGGCGGAAAGGATGTTCCGGTGGCACAGGGGGGATGGCATACGCTTGGTTCTGTGGGTCATGGCGCCGGGAGACCGTACTGAAGGTCTTGAAGCCTACATGGTGGGTCTCCAGGTTTTGGTGGTTTTAGCCCCGAGGAGGGATTTTCCACAGGCCACCCTTGATTTGGTTCGTTTAGATCAAGAACCTCTCACCCCCAGCTTTTGAAACATGCTCATCGGACTCGTTCAGAAACTTTTGAACCCAAACCTGGGTGCGTTTGCCTAAGATGGCTTGGATTGGTCCACCCTTCAGCCAACATGGGGCAGTGCCCTTTTTCCACGCAGTGCCCGTCTTACCGTCCCCAAAGCCCATTCCCCGCACGGTCCTCCGCCGCTCCGCCTTTCGAGCGCGTGGAAGACCACAAGCTTCTTAAACAAACCATGGTCTTTCAGCGCAGGCCTTCCACTTGGTGTGGAGGCCCTACATCAAATCCATGTCGTTTGAATGAACTGAGCCATCGACAGGGGATCAGGCCCTGAATCTGCCTGGTCCTTCCTCCCTTCTTCTCCCTGCTCAGAGCTGATTGTCAGGTCTCTCAGCTTTCGTGCCCACAAAAAAGATACAGCCAGCTGTTAATGCTCACCATCTCAGCTTCATCTGCCTGGCCGCTCTTGTTTCCACTTAGATGCTGTTGACGACGAGCCGCTGCTAGACAGACATTTGTTTCAGAAAGAATGAGCCACGTGAGTGTCGGGCAATCAAAAGCACAACATGGACAGACTGTTTCAATGACATAAGTGGGTCCAGTGGGTCCAGTGGGTATGTTTCCCAAAGAGTGAGTAGGTTGCGCGGTTGCGCAAAGTTCACCCAGCGAACTTCACAAGCGAAGCGTGTGTCGAAGTGGCCTACATCTACAGTGGTTTCAGAGTAGATGGCACAATCCCCAAGTTTGGTGGTTTATATGGGCCCCCATGTAAAGGACATCTTGGGGTGCCAGCGCCATCTACTCTGAAACCACTGTATCGTATCCTTCTTTCCTACCACGGGTCGAACTACGGGTCTTTCTATCGAATACACACCCAGCTCCTCTTGATCTCTGTGCAGGTGATTGGCATGTTGAGCACTGAGCGGGATTGTTCCCACAAGAATGAAGACTTGTGTGGATTTGGTGCAGAAAGGCCTTGCAAAAAACTTCATCCAAGCTTGGCATTTACAGTGCATAATCACCCTAGGCCCTAGGTTGGAATTCAATCTATTTGTGAGGAGGAAAGCAGCTTGCTGTTGTATGGTTCGCTCCATGCAAGTAATGTTTGAGATGCACTATGTCTCCGGCAGGCCCCTTTCCACGGCCTCAGCAACGTGCCAAGCGGCGTACAGCGGGCAGATGCCCCCTGGCGATCTGAAGTGAGGTAACGTCGGAACTCTCCCCCCACTGCAGGAACAAATGAAAACAGTTTTAGCAGTTTTTGAACCAGAGTCTATTCACAAATGACATTCTGAGATTTCACCGAAATTCCAGCTCTGCCCCATTGGAGGTACCGCACCCTTGTGCGGTACCTCCAACATACAGTAACCAAAGTGGGAAATCGGAGTCTCCATTTTGTAGGGGTTCTCTGGCTGCCGCTTTGTTGTTTGAGAGTGTACCTGGGATTCACTTGACAAGGTGTGTTCTTCATGAAGATGTTCTCGATCTGCACGAAAAAAGCATCCAAAAAAAGAAAACATGGAACCCATAAGGCATCGCAGCTAGAGGAGGGCTGCTTACTTGGAGTGGTCTTGAGTCTCTGCTTTCTCGGAGCTGTTGGCTCATGATCAAAACCGCAGTCTCTTGCTCGCCGTCCTCGCTGTTGCTTCTCTAGACCGACCTTCGACTTGGTTTGACTCAAACCCAACGAAGCGGCTTCCTCTTCGAACTAGTTAACCCACCGCATTGCCCGGTCATATACAAAACATCTATGTGACTTCGGACCCGGACCACCGGACCTGCGCCCCGCGCAACGCGCAGGAACCGCCTGCAGCCTCCACCTGGGCTTGGAGCTCAGCCAGCTTTGTGCTCTCCAAGTATCCAGGTGCCAGGCTCAGCGAGCACGTGGCCTCACAGTCCCGGTGCTCCCGAAACGAAATCATCAAAAGGAGTGTATGTCGTCAGTCCAAAAAGAGTGCAAAATCAAGGCCTGACAGCACTGGGGGCAGCGAAAAATATCTGTTCACTGGAATTATATATATAGAGAGGGGAGCGCTGTGAGCGGCGCGTTTTTTCGATGAAAATGAGCATTTTTCAACCTTTTTCATGCGTTTTCTTGAGAATGATTGATGTGTCTGACATTGCCTGGAAGGATCTGCCTGGAAGCGCCCAGATATTATTCAGTAAGATCGGTCAAGAAACCTACAGTGATTATGAAAAAAAAGAACCAAAATTGGAATGATAGAATGAATGACTTTACAAGAAACTTATATAAATGATCACTTTAAACAACATAGAACACTATATGCTGAAGAGAAAAATATAGCAAACAAGGAGAAGATAGAAGACCGCAGGGGCTTATGGAATGCCTATTCATCACCAAGTGCTTTTTACAAAACAAGTAAGACTTTATACATAAGTGGCACAGGTGGTTGTGATGGATCTTTAACAAGGGATATTATGGATGATCTGTTATTAGTACCTACTAGAAATGTTCATCACAGTGAGAAATACAAACATGTTATAGAAGAATTGGAAAAGTCACCAGAAATAACCCGTTTGGTTGGGCATAACCTTGCAAGTGCTGTAATAAGATCAATCAAGAACAACCTAATACATTTGCTACAACAACCTATGCTACCCCTACAATAAAAACAAAAAGGAAAGGAACAAAAGTCCCAAAAGACTTGACTACCGCAATCCATCCGATATTGTTTCAATGTTGGATGGTTACGCTGTAACTTCTGATTTGAAAGAACCTAACCCTTTAATGAGCCACAGCTATATCAATTTTGAAGGGAACGGCCTTTGGAACATCAATCCCGGCACCAATATAAGCAATGGATTTAACCCCAATCACTCATTTAAAAAACAACATTTAAACTTAGTTAAAATATGTAATGTTATGGTGGATTACTCCAAGGCAAAATTTTACAGAATACTAAATGACAAAATGACGATGTCTATATTGGTGCTACTTGTCAGCCATTGAGTGTTAGAATGGCAGGACATAGAAGGGGGCGGAATGGCAAAGATAAGAAACATTACAAATTGTTATCACACAATCACCCAAACATTCAATGCTGGTGGTGGTGAAATTAATATGAATATTGTAAAATCATCTTCTAAACTGACTGGAGCATTCATTACCTTATTTAGAACTCCAAGGAGTGGTGAAGAACTGAACCGATACTTACCTGACAAGTATGTATATAAGAGATGGAATTAATCCTATGATCTATGGAAGAATTAATGATACTGGTAATGCTGATACAAATGACTTACAAGGTACAAAGGTTTTCAAGATGCCACCCGTAGTTTAAGTTGGCAAATTCAATTAAGCAATTCCCAGAAATACACAGAATTTGAAGCGCAATCATTATCATAAATCTTTTACTACTTAAGAAGAGCTATACAGTACATGACAGTTTAAGTTTTTCGTATCGTCAATACAGAAAGAACAAATTCATTATTGGTATGTCATTTGAAAAAATTGCAGATGTCAATTTTACTGGTTATAATTCTAAAATGTCAGGTATTACCAATTTTCGAGTTAAAGGAGCAGAAGGAGCATTATTAGACCCTAATGAACAAATCACTGAGGGTTTCAGAGACTGTTCTGGAATTGAGAGAAAGTGGTAGTATTGTCTACTTCCAAGGAAATTGAAAATTTAAAACATCCCAGGAAATCAAAAAATCCAAAATTCCAGTTTTCCAAAATTCCAATTTTCCAAAAAAAACAAAGAAACCAAAAAAAACAAAAAAAAACAATTCTGCACAGACCATGGGGGGAAGAGGGGGTGAGGCAAAGTCCTGGCACAATTGGTTTTTTTGGTTTTTTGGGTTTCTTTGGTTTTTTTGGAAAATTGGAATTTTGGAAAATTGGAATTTTGGAAAATTGGA